TTCGAGTCAAAGAAGATGGTGTAGGCTACTTCTTTAAACTAATCTTTGCGTGCATTGTATAAGTTCGTATAAAAAGTAGTAGTACATTATGTAATAAAACGTATTGTGTTTGTATACCCTTTTAAAGTAATCCTAGTGTATTAGCCTAGGCAAAGTATAACATTTTTAAATAAGTGTATTTTAAATATTTTTTTTCTCATAACAAACCACATATCCCTCTGCTTCTATGGATCTAATTTTGGTCCAATATTGTTATAGGTCAATCCGGGTTATAGTTGTCATAAAAAGTATGTAACATTAAGTCTTGTCTAGTAAAACTGTGTAAAATAACATTCTTGACACCCAAACACCAGGGGCGGAACTACCATGCCGCCAGTGCGAGGGTGGGGGGGGGGGTGGAATCAGGCCGTTTAGGAGAGGGGGGACCACAGCCCACCATAATTAATATTTTAAAAAGTGTAAGTGTACTTTTCGTGCAATTTTCGCCTTGATGTTTTGGTTTGTAACAAAATACTGTAGCTGCAGTACTGTTATCTTTATTTTACAGCCACTATAGTAAGCTCTTCTGCAAACATAAAAAACCAATACACAAACTTAGTGTAAAATACAATTTGGAATAATATTCCGTGACTTGTTGCTCCACTGTTATAGCCAAATAGGAGGGGACGTATCACTTTCACACTTTGGCATAATAACTGATCGACCAGACCTCGAAAGTGTGCTGTGTAAAATAACAGTCTTGACACTGAATCACTTGGATATAATATTCAAAACAACCTATGGCCCAGTTAATGTATTGTTTTTTCTAGAACATGACACTCAGAGAAGACCAGGTCATATTATATTTAATGTAGGCTATCGTAATCTAAACTGAATAAAATAATTTTAACTCTTCTGAGACGTGATGCCTTTTTAAAGTTTTATTTTATTTTAAAAGAATTATGTTTTATTGCTTAGAGTGAAATAAGTTGATAAAAGTTATAATTCCATTAAATAAATAGATTATATTAAATAGTTTGAATAAATACACGTTTCTGGGTAAAAGTGAAAGTATTTTCAAATTAGCCATTACGTCATGAGGTATACACATGTCGAAATATTTCGAAAAAAAAATCCATTAATCGGCGCACCTTAATAATATCAACATCGTTCTGAACATTTTTCAATACAAAATGTTCATTAATTGTTAATCAAATGTGTCCCGTAATTATATAAATATAAAGATATATATATAAATATATATATATATATTTATTTATATATTGGTTTAATCTATTATTTTAAAAATATTAAAGTAAATTTACCAACGTTGTGCGGCTGATCGTTATATTTTAAATGGTTGTTTATTCATGTTTATAACTTGTTTTTGCAGTAGAGCAGCAATGGGAAATAAGTCTAGTACTAGTAAACAGAAAGAGCCACAACCCAAACACTTACAGGCCCATGTTTCAGGTAACACATTGTCAACATCGTACTACTCGTTATCTCTTGTCTTACATATGTATGCTTTATACAATGTATACCAATGTAAACCAAAAGTCTGGTGCTACTGTTTTTATCCATATATTTAGCAGAAACATTTTAAAAAGGTAAAATGTTTTTAACACAGAGCTCATCCATAAATGACATAACGCTTTTTTATGCCGATTTTCGCCTAAATTTTCACGAAAAGCAAGACCCTGACCCCTTAAAATGAAGTCACGACTTTACCAGAACCTCCACCCCCTTCAAAACTGCAGCTTTTGAAACTTCCATTTTTATTCTAAAAACTTGACTGTGTTGGTCAGTTCAGATTATTTCAGTCAATTTAGATTAAAATTTATTAAAAGTTTTATAAAACTCGAAATAATGGGCTAAAATTCAATTTCTAACATTACTTTTTTAAATGCAAAATGTGACTTCAATTTATCTGTAATTCCCCACCCCCTCCATCTTCAGATGGCATCATAAAATTACGGACGCCCCCTTCACCCTAAGAGTGCGACGTCAATCCCTATGTTATTTGATAGCATTTCAATGTACAATTAATAATATTCTAAATAATACTAGCGATAACATGAAAATAAAATAACATACCTTGCTATTATTTGAAAATACACTTTAAAATTTTTAATTTTTTTATTCGCATATATATTATCACTTTTTAGTCAGTAGTCTAGTTTTTAATTAGTCTTGGCCATTTAAGATCGTTTAAATTATTTTATTGAATGACATGTTTATTATAAATAAAACTTTCGCCTGGGTTATACAGAGGCTGACGTTGATGAAGGTTTTATTTGTACTGTGTTGCTACCAGACGGCAAGGAGGAGAAAAAACGTGTGTTTCGCTCTTCCAGAATGAACGAAGTAAGGTGTAGAATAGCTAGCAATAATTGGCACCCCTTATACGCAGGGCTTAAAATTTCCAGGACGGGTGGCTGACAATAGTTAAACTATATAACCTATATATTCTACATAACATAAGGGTGGATCTTTTGCATGGTGTTGGAGGAAGGGGGCAATGCCCATAGGGGAATGACTTAAAAATGACTTAATACATGAAAGATTTGGTTCATTTTTTAATACTAGTACTTTTTTAAATTAAAGAGCGTTTTGGTTTTTGTTCCAATAGCCTATTTAACCTATTACTAATCTTTTAAATAAATTGATGAAAACATGTCTTATATGCCCTATATACTGAAACTAATTATTTTTTATATAAAACAATGCTTTAGTGTTTGTTTAAACACTTAAGCTATTACTAAACTAACAAAGTAAATTGATGAAAACAGGTCTTATATTTTTCAAACAAATATTTTTAATTAAACATTGTTTTAGCGTTTGTTCAAATAATTAACCTGTCACTTAACTAACCAAATAAATTAATTATGATCCAGTTTTTTTTAAGAAACCATTTACCTGTTGAGTTTGTTTAAATAATGAATCTACCACTTAACTAAACAAAGAAATTATGTTCCAGTTTTTGAGAAACCACTTACCTGTTGAGTTTGTTTAAATAATCAACTTAACACTTAACTATTTAAATAAATTATGTTCCAGTTTTTTTATAAATCACTTACTTGTTAAGTTTTTTAAACTAACCAAGTAAATTATGTTCCAGTTTTTGAGAAACCACTTACCTGTTGAGTTTGACGTCAGCGACTACGAGGTCGTCATCTACAAATCCAACAACGGAATTGTGATACCTAAACCGAATGAAGAATTCGAGGAGTACATGGATGACTTGCATGAGATATGGATCGCATCCAAAGGGTAACTTGGCTCTAGTCTTTACGTTTTAGCTAGGTTTTAATACATAAGTGGTTCTATATTTCTTGAAATCATCATCTTTTCTCGATCGTGCCCATGGGGCAGATGGAGTAGTATTAATCTGTTTTATGAACCTCGGCAAATGAGAATTGTGTTATTTGAACCCGGATTCGAACTCGAGACTTGAGGTTTAATAGTCTACTTCTCTACCGATAGGACACGCCGCCATATGTTGCTTTATAAAAACATGTATTAAAATGTAGGCCTATTTCATGTACATGTATTGCGTGCTAGTATGAGTAAATGTTTACTGTGTATGTTTGCTGTTGCTACTGATGCAGTATTTGTGATGTTCTGTAGTTTATGTATCGGAAGGGGATAGAGGGAGATAATTTTGAGAAAATAGTTTTTTTTAAATGTATTTTTTAAAAAAAAGAGAAAAATATGTTACTGTTGACAATTTTTCTTAGTAAAAAAAATATGCACGTAATACACTATTTAATTTACCACACACGTTTTCATAAAATACTTTGTTCGCAAAAGTATTAGCTAGGAATATCTTCAATTAGCGTAGGCATTTATTAACAATTATTTTTTTACTAACTGGTGGCATATGGCTGCCACTTTTTCAGCCACCTCCGATACAACTTTTATGTTATGTTTATTTCATGAGTATTTCTTTTTTAATTTCATTACAGTGTTGCCCAATCTCGCGCGGCAGAAAAACAACACATTGGGAATATAAAGCTTAAAAAGATGGATGGAGAAGCTGGCTAATTAAATATTTAATAGATTAACCCTTAATTGGTGGTAACATGCAATCACTTGTTGGCACTGTAAATTACAAATGGTAATTCATAAATTTTTTTATCCATATTATGTAATTGAATGTATTTTGTTGAGAATTTTTTCTAAATATTACTTTTACTGCTGCTAGTATTATAAACTGACATTTCCATTTTATTTTATTTTACTTTATGGGTTTTTTTTTAAAATACGATTAATCGAACAGTGAAAAAAACCTATGTATTGCAATATTTGTGTGAATTAAACGTTCTAAATATTAGCAGTTGGTTCGTAAGTGACTATATAGCTCAAGAGTTTAACCATTGCTTGAGACATTTTGCAATGGGGGAGCGGGGGTAGTTAAAAATTTACTGAGGGGGTGGAGGCACCCTTCAGTTTTACCGGGGAGGGTGGACACTTGTTAAAGTAGGGCATTTATATTTTTATAAATACTTTATATTATTTCTATTTTATCCCAGATGTCGTATGCCCCCCCCCCCCCCAAAAAAAAAAGATGTATGATAGAAACTCTGAGTATTGCAGTTTAAAAGTTCACTTTAGCTTCCAGCCTTAGCTGTCTAACAAAAGTAATATCGTTAAAGTTAAATAATACCACAATATTGTGAAACACCTAGAATCAATCTAATGTTAAAACAAAAATGCCCACAGATCTTACATTTGTCACAATTTTAAATAGGCAGCTCCGCTATGGCAGCCACAAAAAACACATACTTTGAAATCACATGCACAATAAACATGTTTCTCTTTTGTAAAAAAAAAGTGCACATTACATTTATTTAATCCAGCGAATTTGTGTTTATATGCGTGTATGACTGGTAAGAAATGTAGACCAGGGGTCTACGAACTTTTCAGTCGAGGAGCCGCATTAAATATTAAATTTCAGTTCAGGGGCCAGTTTGTTTCCTTGAAAGTCTTTGATTTTACTGGGCAAAGTTCCTCAGCCATCATCCAGAATGAACGAAGTAAGATGTAGAATAGCTAGCAATAATTTGCACCCGATATACACAGAGCTTAAAATTTCCAGGACGGGAGGCTGACAAAATCGTAGATCCTGATAAACTTTTGAGCGATTTCCGATAACCGGAAGTGGTATTTTTTCTACTTTGAATTTTTCAAAAGCGTATAACTTGAGTACTATTTCAGATAGATAAATGAAATTTCACATGTAAGTAAAAGATCTAATTGTCTACCTTCTGTCAAATTTTGAGTAATATCCGTTGATAGGAAGTACTAATTTACGCTATTTCCGATTTCTCAAAAAACGAATGTAAATTTATAAAGTACAAATAATATTCCGCACTATTATGCACATTTTCTTTGGCGTTCACAGGTGTGCAATTCTTTTTTCTACGAGACTTTATTCTATTTTTAAAAGTTTAAGTATTTAAAATGGATTAAAATTCATGTCTATATCCCGAATTCCCATCACCTTTTTTTTAATTTAAGGATATTCGAGAAAGTTTAGGGGAGATCACTCCCGGTTTATTTAAATACTAGTCCTTATTTTTTAATCAAAGAGGGTTTTGTCTTGGTGTTCAAATAGCCTACTGAACCTATAACTAAACTTACCAAATAAATTGATGAAAACATGTCTTATACTAAATTATTGAAACTAATTATTTTTTATATTAAACAATGTTTTAGTGTTTGTTTAAATACTTAACCAATTACTTAACTAACCAAGTAAATTGATGAAAACATAACTTATATTTTTTTAAACAAATATTTTTAATTAAACAATGGTTTAAAGTTTTTTTTATAATCAAGCTATCACTTAACTATTTAAATAAATTATGTTCCAGTTTTTGAGAAACATCTTACCTGTTGCGTTTGATTAAATAGTGAACCTATCACTTAACTACCCAAATTATTTAAATTATGTTCCAGTTTTTGAGAAACCACTTACCTGTTGAGTTTGACGTCAATGAATACGAGGTCGTCATCTACAAATCCAACAACGAAATTGTGATACCTAAACCGAATGAAGAATTCGAGGAGTACATGGATGACTTGCATCAGATCAGGATCGCAGCCAAAAGGTAACTTGGCTGCAGTCTTTACGTTTTAGCTAGGTTTTAATTCATAATAGTTCTATATTACTTGAAATCATCTTTTTTTCTCGGTCGTGCCCATGTGACAGATGGAGTAGAGTTAATCTGTTTTAGGGACCTCGGCAAATGAGGGATAGTATAATTTGAACCCGGATTTGAACTGTTTAATAATCTAGCTCTCTAACGCTGCCAGGCGTACAGATATTGCGTGTTAGTATGAGTATATGTTTACTGTGTATGTTTGCTGTGGCTGCTCGTCGTGGAGTATTTTTCATGTTCTGGAGTTTATGTAACGGGAGGGGATAAAGGGAGATAATTTTTAGAAAATCGTTTTTTTTTTTTAATTTATTTTTTTAAAAAGAGAAAAATATGTAACTGTTGACAATTTTTCTTAGTAAAAAATATGTACTTAATACACTATTTTATTTACCACACAAGTTTTCGCAAAAGTATTAGCTCGGAATATCTTCAATTAGCGCAGGGATTTATTAACAACTATTTTTCTTACCAGCTGGTGGCATATGGCTGGCACTTTTTCAGCCACCTCAGACATAACTTTTATATTTTGTTCATTTCATGAATATTTTCTTTTTAATTTCATTCCAGTGTGGTTCATTCTCGCGCGGCAGAAAAACACATTGGGAATGTAAAGCTTAAATAGATGGATGGAGAAGCTCGCTAATTAAATATTTAATAGATTAACCCTTAATTGGTGGTAACATGCAATCCCTTGTTTGCACTGCAAATTACAAATGGTAATTCATAATTTTTTATCCATATTATGTAATTGAAAGTATGTTTGTTGAGCATTTGTTCTAAATATTACTTTTACTGCTGCTAGTATTATAAACTGACATTTCCATTTTATTTTATTTTACTTTATGGTTTGTTCATTTTTTTAAAAATAATATTAACCGAACAACAAATAAAAACGTATGTATTGCTATATTTGTGTGAAGTAAACGTTCTAAATAGTAGCAGTTGGTTCGTTAGTGAATATTTACCTGAAGATTTTAACCATCGCGTGAGAAATTTTGCTATGAAGGATCGGTGGTAATTAAAATTTACTAAGTAGGGCATATACAGTTTTATATACACTTTATATTATTTCTATTTTACTCGAGGGGTGGTATGCCCCCCCCCCCCTGGAGAGATGTATTAACATAAGTAATATTGCTAACGTTAAATAAATTTTAAAAAAAATGTAAAAAAAAAAAAACTAGAATCAATCTATTGTCAAAACAAAAACTCCCACATATCTTACATTTGTTACAATTTTAAATCGACAGCTCCGCTATGGCAACCAAGAAAACATACTTTGAAATCACATGTACAATAAACATGTTTCTCTTTTGTTAAAAAAAGTGTACATTACATTTTAATCCATCGAATTTGTGTTTATATGCGTGTATGACTGATAAGAAATGTGTGGCATTGACTAAAATAATATATTAACCATCAGTCCTCAAATTGTTTTATTTTTTTATTTTTCAAAGTAAATCAATTTTTTTTTTTATATTTTCACATTTCTATTTCCATTCTTCCATCTGTGGAATATTAGTCTGCTACATATAAAATTTCATGTTTATAAAAAGACCATATTTGTACACAATGGTTAAATATAAATGTGTATGTTGTATTTGTCAATCTGATTATGATTACTTGTGGAAATAAATTGGGAGTAAGCTGCTCGAAACTTGTATATTCTTTATTCTTTACTTTAGATGTGAGGGGGGTAAAAGCTAAAAATCAATTTCCCAACAGAATTGGTTGGCGTATCGATCTTTCTCGGCGCCCGGGGACAAACTTTTAATTTGTCACCCCCCACCCCCCCACCCCCCCTTATATTTTTTTATATTTATAATGCAAAAATGCAGCTAAAATAAGCTTTTACTTTTTTTCAAACCCATTTTGGCACCCCCAAGGGTCGGCGCCCGGGGACATATGTACCCCCCGCCTCCACCCTCACTACGCCTCTGGTTAAAATTCAAACGAGAGTCGTCAACCCGCCAACCCCCCCCCCCCCCACCTATATATACAAATACATGCCTAGAAATAATTAACTCGAAATAAGGTAGTGTACAATACATGCTCCGTGGGAAAAATGTGTTGATAAAACCAGTGCGGTGCCACGTTGCTTAGCGCCCTAGGCAAAACTTATCAAAACGCCCCCTTTCACACACATTAACTACAAAAACATATGTATAAGGAAGCAATAAATGTAAAGTGAAAAATATAAAATTATTATCAGTTGCATAAACTTTACAAGTAGATTTCAAAATAAAAAAATTGGTAATTCATCCTGGGCGCCGAAATAAATCGCTACACCTTCGTATAATACCCTGTCTATAGTTTATACAATGTTATCAAAGTAATAAATATTTTGTACTTTTTAAAAATGGAGATTAAACATTTTTGTGCCCCACTGTGGATAGAGACCTAGGCGACAGCCTAGTTCGCCTTAGAGGCCATCTATAAATGAAGTCACATTTTTGTTGACGTTTTTTAACTCCCACCCCCTCCCGTCCGCCACACATCGTCACAAAAAGCTAGACCCCCCCCCCCCTAAAATGACCTCAGCCTACAATCCCCCCCCCCCCCCACTTCAAAATTGCAGTAAAATGTTTCTTAAAACATCGATATTTTTCCAAAATCTTGTCTAAACTCTGTCAAAATAGAGTATTTTTTATCAATTCCTATTACCATTTCATAAAACTATTTTCTAAAACGTGAAATAACGGCAAAAACTCGTTTTCTGACATTTCTTTTACATATAATGCAAAAGTGTGACGTCACACCATCTTAACCCCCCTTCCCCCTCCCCGTCATCATACACCGACACAAAATTACGGACCCCCCACCCCCCCCCATTCCAGTGTGACGTCATTTATGGACGACCCCTTATAGGTAGCGCCGTCCCTGCATTTAACATTATCTTGCTTTGAGTTTTTCCCCTTCTGGACGTGTAAGTCTATGGTACACATGTTGCAAATGTAACCATAGTTTTAGTTTTAAGGGTGACAGGACAAATGATCTCAGGACAAATGATCTCAGACAAAATATCTCAGACAAAATATCTCAGACAAATATCTCACGGACAAATGATCTCAGGACAAATGATCTCAAGGACAAATGACCTCACGGACAAAAGATTCCAGGACAAAATATATCAGGACAAATGATACCATGGACAATTGATCTCAGACAAAATATCTCAGACAAAATATCTCACGGACAAATGATCTCAGGGGCGTACCGGGTGACACCATTAAGGGGGGGGGGGGTGACACCAAGGCAAAAAGTAGCAAAATATATAGAGAAAAACTTGAAGGGGGGGGGGGTGTGGGTGCAAATCAAAAAGTTTGAGGGGGGGGGGTGCAAATCGAAAACTTGAGGGGGGGGGGGGTGCAAATCGAAAATGTGTCCCCGGGAAGGGTCGCTATACTTCTGGGGGTGACACCATTAAGTGCCGCACCGGGTGACACCCGACCTCGCTACGCCACTGCCCCCACCCAAGGAAAATGGTGTCCGCTTCCCCCCCCCCCCCCCCCCCCCCCGAAACTATTAAGTCCCCCGTCCACACCCCCAGGAGAAAAAAGTCTGGAAGAAACACTGCCAATCACACCCTTTGGTTCGCTACAAGTATCAACCCTTTAATCCCTCAATCAAATACAATGATTGATTCATTCAAAGGCTACATTGTAACAATGTTACTTTGTATTAAATGCTTGTTTCATGTAGCCTATAGGCCTACCTAAATTTAACATTAGGTTTTTACCACTTTACTTATCAGAGTGAAGTAACAACTCACTGTTGTGTGTTGGTGTGTTAAGTGAATGGGATGAGAGCAGGGGGTAGCCCCAAACATTTTATCTTTGTTATTCTACACGGGGTCGCACATCATTGTCAAATGCTGGTCTATTTATAACCTAGTTATTTTTCACTAACACTTTAAACAGCAGTTAGTCATTGGTCAATTAAAAAAAACAGGATATCACTATTGAGTTCACTGAAGTGGTGTGTGTAAAAACAAATGTGTCAAACAGCGCGAAACTGTGCGAACACTTGGTAGATCTAGATACAGACGTTCAAGACGGATCTAGATCTACATGCTAAAGTGTACTTAAAATGGTAATCTCACCATATAGCTTCGAAAATTATCTGGTAATGTGTGTTGAATTTCGGTAAGATTCGTTACTGTAAAACATAGTTTATTTGACCGTTAATATAAAAATAAAGATACGTGCATTAAATTAATGTTTTAACTTAATTTAAAATATAATTGACAGAAAATTAACAAAAATTAGTACATCTAAATATTATTTAATAAAATCGAGTGTGATAATTAATATTTTTTAAGAATCACAGAAAGAAAAAAAAAACTAGACGCTAGATCTAGTAAAATAAGACGATTAGATTTACTAAATGTTACTAAATGTTAAGTAGCAGTAATAATTAGCACATACACTTAAAATAATTAAAAATACAAAATAATTAGCAAAACAGTATTTAAAATGCAACTAAAAACAATCCATGACTCATCAAGGACTCTTCCATACTATACTATATACGGCATAGGGCCTATAGATTTCTTCTAAAATAGATCTAGATCTACTAATAAATACTCAATATACTACATATATTACTTCTACATACTAGATCTAGTGGATCCAGAATATAGTCTAATATCTAGATTAAATAGACTCTTTTTTTTATTTAGGACATGGTCTTCTTCTTAAGTTTTGATATATGTGTTGCCTAACTTTAAAATTATAATGTTACAGGGGGGGGGCACTTGAAATCTTCGGGGGGGGGGGGGCGGTAAACTTTCTTCGGGGGGGGGGGGGCGGACACTGTTAAAAGTATATATTTTCTATATAAATGATATAAATTTCATTTTGTTCGGGGGGGGGGGGGGGGGGCGGTAAAAAATTTCCGGGGGGGCTTGGCCCCCCCGAAAGATGCCTGGAAGAAACTCTGGTTACAGGCTACTTTTATGCCGATACAATATGTATATTTAGGCCTATAGATCAAAATTCTAAATCTAGGCCTTACTTTTTAAAATTAGGCCTTATTAGTAATCTCTCTCTCTCTCTCTCTCTCTCTCTCTCTCTCTCTCTCTATATATATATATATATATATATATATATATATATATATATATATATATATATATATATATATATATATATATATATATATATATCAAAATATACCATATATGCCCTCTATATAAATGGCCTTTTTTCATTGTAAAATTATAGATTATTTATATAAAATTACAGAGGACTATAGGCTCCCTATGTAAAATAACATAATAGTAAACCAATATATTTTTTATGTCTGACTAGTCTATTTTGAGACTAAATTAAAATTAATGTTCAATAGCAAGCAAAGTAGTAGGCCTATATCACACAGTTTTAGGGGATTTAAGTTTTTAAAAACTCATTTAAATATCACAATGCCTTACTGAAACCTATCCCTTTGTACAAGCTTTTATTTAACTCACTTCTTCGTCAGTCGTCAGTCTGTCTAGATCGAAACGCAGGAGTGAAAATTCGGAAACTTCTACTTGACCGATACGATTCACATTTGACACGTGGGTCAAGACATGAAGACAATGCAATCTGAAATTAAATTTGACTTAATTGGATGCCTAATAAATTTTTAATGAATTAATTAAAATTTGGACCGAATTAGTAGGCATGTCTAGCCAACCACACCACACGCGTCATCAGGTTCAATAGCTGCGCCATCACGATACGTTCAATAGCTGCGCCATCACGTTCAGTAGGCGCGCAATGGTTTTTAATCATGTAACTGTATTGTAAATAAAACATGTAAAGTACTGAAAAAAAATTCATAAAAAACGTTTTAATAACAAGCTTTTATGTAATAATGAACTAAAAAGTAGAAAATAAATTATAGACTACTATTTAAATTACTATAAAAAAAGCGTGGGTCTCTTCTCAAATATTAGTAAAGGTATCCAATCGGTACTAAAGTGACCCACGCTTTTCTTTATAGTAATTTAAATAGTAGTCTATAATTTATTTTCTACTTTTTAGTGCATTATTACATAAAAGCTTGTTATTAAAACGATTTTTATGAATTTATTTTAGTATTGCAACCTGTTTAATGTTATCATTTATCTCCTATACAATTTTTGCATTTGCTTGTATCATAATTCCTCAAGTTAAATGTTAAGGTTATTTTATCTATGTAGTCTATCATTAGTAACTTTTTTATTCACTACCTTCACTCATCTATTCTACTTCACTTTGCATTAGTTTTATTTACTGATCCTACATTAATTTATCATTGCATGAATGATTAATACCGATCTAAAAGATCTGAGCTTAATAGCTTATAGATGAAATTTATTTTATATGGTTTTTATTTAAATAATTATTTTATTAACTCATCATTATTTATAAATTATTCTATATAGGGCCTATTTCTTGATGCAATTATGTCTTCTTTAATGACTAATGTTGTTGTAATATTTGTTGGCGTTCACTTGTTATATTGTTATATTAGTAATTAGTTTTAACTTATCTATAGCTTTTTTTGTCAAAAAAAAAGACATTTCTAAAGGCTCTATATTTTAACTACCATGTTTGGAGATTTGATTTCTACTTGTGCAAAAGTCTATTTCTTGAACGTTATGTTAAATCACTTTAAATCTTATAGTGTGC